AGGTAATCCACTCACCTCAGCCTCCCAAAGGCACGGGATTACAGGCTGAGCCACCGAGCCCGGCTCGGTACTATAACATTTTAACAGGTTAAAAAAAAAAGGCAAGAATTGAAGGAGAAAATTGAAGATAGCTTTCTTATAAAAGTCTGTACAAATATCTCCAGAGCCATAGTTCAGAGGATAAGAAAAGCCTAAGAAGAAAAGCTCTGGATAAGTCCTAAAACAAGAAGACAAACAGAAATTTCAAACCTTCCATTTTCAGAAGGGTCATCTCTTCTTATGCATGGCCACTTTCTGTACGACAGCAGAATGGAAGCTTTGACTCATGGGCTATAATTTTTGTCATTTTATTGAATCATTTATTCCTGGTGCTCCAGTTCACCCTAACTGTGCAGTTTCTGAATCTTTCCCTAATTTTGTTATATGTGTTAGTACCATCTCCCCCCAAAAGTTTATAACATGTCTATGGCATGGTCATGATCCCTTCTTAACACTGAATACGGGGCACAAGAAATACTTCTTTTTTTTTTTTTTTTTTTTTAGTCAGAGTCTCATGCTGTCACCCAGACTTGAGTGCAGTGGTACAATCATGACTTACCGCATCCTCAACATTCTGGGTTCAGGTAATCCTTTTGCCGTATCCTCCCAAGTAGCTGGGACTACAGGCAGTCACCACCACAGTTATTTATTTATTTAGACATAATGAGGTCTTGCTATGTTGTCCAGGCTGGGCTTGAACTCCTGAGCTCAAACAATCCTCACGCCTCGACCTCCTAAAGTGCTGGGATGACAGGTGTGAGCCACTGTGCTCAGCTACATTTAAGAACAGAACTCGAGCTGGGCTCGGTGGCTCAGCCTGTAATCCGGCGCCTTGGGAGGCTGAGGTGAGTGGATTGCCTGAGCCCGCAGGTTCGAGACTTGCTTGGGCAACTTGGTGAAACCTCATCTCTACAAATAAATCAAAAAGTTAGCCAGGCGTGGTAGCACGCGCCTGTAGTTCCAGCTCCTTGGAAGGCTGAGGCGGAAGGATCACCGGGCCCAGCAGGTCGAGGCTGCGGTGGCTGGGAGCGGCCACTGCACTCGTCTGGGTGACAGAGTGAGACTCTGACTCAAAAAAAAAAAAGGAACAGAACCCAAAGAATGACAAGGGAAACCCAGACTAACACGTTGCCAGAGGCCACTGATAGGTTTTCTAGGACAACTCCTTTTTGGCATCAGGGACTGGTTTAATGGAAGAAAAATTTTCCATGGGCCAGGGGTCGGGGGGTGGAGGTGGTTTCGGGATGATTCCAGCACATAACATTTACTGTGCACTTTATTTCTATTATTATTACCTTATAATATATAACAAAATAGTTATACAACTCACCATTAAAAAAAGGTATGAGCTGGGCTCGGTGGCTCAGCCTGTAATCCCACGCCTTTGGGAGGCTGAGGTGAGTGGATTGCCTGAGCCCGCGGGTTCGAGACCCGCCTGGGCAACTTGGTGAAACCTCATCTCTACAATAAATCAAAAACTAGCCGGGTGTGGTAGCGCGCACCTGTAGTTCCAGCTACTTGGAAGGCTGAGGCGGAAGGATCGCCGGAGCCCAGCAGGTCGAGGCTGCGGTGGCCGGGAGCGGCCACTGCACTGCAGTCTGGGCGACAGAGTGAGACTCCAACTCAAAAAAAAAAGGTGTGGACAGAAGAGGTAAATAAAATAATGGACAAGCCACTCACAGACTAAAGTAAGTGTCAGATTCTGACTTAAAGCCTGCCACCAGACGCAGCTGTACAATTGAAGTATACTAACTCACTTGCCACTCACTGATCGGGTTTTTATATGAGTCTGCAAGCAGTTGATTGATGATGGTCTCTGTGACGTCAAACCTCACTGCTAATGTTAAACTGTATTTGCAGCTACTTTCCAGCACTAGCACCGCTGCCTCAGCTCCACCTCAGATCATCAGGCATTAGATTTTCCTAGGGCGTGTGCAATCTAGATCCCTCACATGTGCAATTCACAATAGGGTTCGTGTTCCCATGAGAATCTAATGCCGCTGCTGATCTGACAGAAGATGGAGGTCAGGTGGTAACGTGAGCAATGAGGGGGCAGCTATAAATACAGATGAAACTTTGCTCGCTCACTCACCGTTTACCTCCTGCTATGCAGGCCAGTTCCTGACAGGCTACAGACCAGTACCAGTCCGTGGCCCAGGGGTTGGGGGACCCCTGTTCTAGGAGATTCTAAAGGAAAGAGGAATGATGGGAAGGACCCATATGAAGCCATTTACAATTTTGCCCCCAGCACATACATCCTGTTCTTGTTGGAACCATGCCCTGACTGACCTCTAGAAAGCCAGCCCCTCCTTCCTTTTCCCCCTCCCCACCTCCTCACCTCAGCCCCGGTGTTGAGGGGTAAAGCCTGGGATGGTGAGACCCACCCCAGTCAGCCACCACAGTACCCTAGCTGGGACCGAGCAACGGGTTTATGGCTGGGCATGTGGCCCACTCAGAGACCATGAGACAGGGACGCTTTTGCTGGGAATGACAGAACAGAGGCAAGTTTTCTTCCCTGCTTGTCTTGAAGTAACAGAGACGGGGCTACTGCTCTCTGGCCACCAAGTAGCCCAAGAATAAAGCCAACAAAGGAAACAAAAGAGGGAGACCAATGGGGTCCAGGTGACATCATTTGCGCTAATCAAACTCTACCATGATCAAGCTGAAACCAAGACTTTTGAGTTTCCTGAATTTATAAATTATCTTCTTGCTTAAGTCAGTTTGGGTTGGGTTTTCTGTCGCTTGCCACTAAGAATCCTAGGTGCCATGGAGAACTTGCTTTGGAGTCAGAAAGACTCGGTCTCAAATCTTGACCTTCCACCTGGCAACTCACTAGCAAAGTCATGACACATTGTTTATCTTCTCTGAGCTCCACTTCCCTCATCCATTGTGCCATTCTGAGGATGTAATAACTTTTTTTTTGAGTTGGAGTCTCACTCGGTCGCCCAGACTGGAGTGCAGTGGCTGCTCCTGGCCACCGCAGCCTCCACCTGCTGGACTCCGGCGATCCTTCCGCCTCAGCCTTCCGAGTAGCCAGAATTACAGGCGTGCACTACCACGCCCGGCTGATTTTTTTGATTTATCGTAGAGATGAGGTCTCGCTGCCCAGGCGGGTCTCGAACCCGCGGGCTCAGGCAATCCACTCACCTCAGCCTCCCAAAGTGCTGGGATTACAGGCTGAGCCGCTGAGCCCGGCTGTAATAACTATTTTTAAAGTGCCAGCACAGTGTCTGGAAAAAATAAGGTAATTAACAGTTTATGCTTCCTTCCCTCCCTCTGATTTCCTTTAGTGAACAAAGAGTAAAGACTTGCTGATGGAAGAAGACAGAGAAAATAATTGTCTTCCGGTCAATGACCTTTCTCCTCCAAAAAGTAGGAGTTGCAGAGACAGGAGGTACCTTAAATGAGGCCACCCCGGGGTCAGCGATGCCTGGAGGGTGTTGGCCGGTGCCGTAGCCTGCGTAGCTCATCACCCATGGCTCGTGGAAGGTCACCCACAGCTTCACACGGTCCCCAAAAGTGGAGAAACAGAAGGCCGCATAGTCCAGGAAGGCATCCACCACGCTCTCATTCTGCCACCCGCCATGATCTTGAAGGGCCTGAGGCAGGTCCCAGTGGAACAGCGTCACCATGGGTTCGATGCCTGAGTCCAGCAGGGTGTCGATCAGCTTGTTGTAGTAGGCGACGCCTGGGAGGCTGGGACTGCTCCCACGCCCAGCAGGGAAGACCCGGGACCAGGAGATGGAGAACTTATACACCTGAGCCCGGAGGCCGCGAAGCAGGGCGACGTCAGAGGCCACCTTGTGGTAGCTGTCACTGGCCACCCACGGCGTCGCTTGGCCCTTGCCAGTGCTCAGGTGACCGTGCTGGTCCCAGATGCTCGCCCCTCTCCCGCCCTCAGCCCAGCCTCCTTCCACCTTAAAGGCTCCCGTGGAGACACCCCAGAGGAAGCCTTTGGGGAAAGTGTCCTGCAGGAAGGCATCCCTTTCTGCCCTGGACTGGTTAGCAAATGTTTCCCAGACTCTTTGATAGGTCGAATCGGGAGAGGCGTCGACTGCTGTCCTGTGGTTCTTCTCCTGGTCAGACTGAAGAATCAGGCTGTCGGTCAGAGAGCAAGACATGCTGTGGGATTGAAATGACATAAAGGGACATTGTCATTAATGACTGAATTACAAATGCCCCTTATGAATGAACATGGCCATGCAGTGACATGCGGTGGCTCATTCCTGTAATCCCAGCACTTTGGGAGGCCCAGGCGGGAGGATTGCTGAGTCCAGGAGTTTTTTTTTTTTTCATTAAATAAAGTCTTATTGAAACAGAGTAATGTTCATTTGTTTACATATTGACTATGGCTGCTTTGTGTTACAGACAATTGAGTAATTGGAGAAGAGAGAGTCTAGGAGTTTGAGACCAGCCTAGGAAACATGGAGAGACCCTGTCTCGACAAAAAATAAAATAAAACACAGACGTAGCTAGGCATGGTGGTGTGCGCCTGTAGTCCAGCTACTCAGGAGGTTGAAGCAGAAGTTTCGCCTAAGCCCAGGAGATTGAGGCTGTGGTGAGCTGTGATTGTGCCACTGCACTCCAGCCTGGGCAACAAAGTGAGACCTGTGTTAATAATAATAATAATAATAATAATAATGTTTTTAATCAGTAAAGTTTCCAGAAGCACTGAGTGGAAAGTCAAATCCACAAGACCCTGGGCAGGAAGTGACTGGAAATGGGAAAATGATTATTATTACCCCTTCTTGGGTGAGCTGTTCTTGGGTGAGTAAAAGCAGTGACAATGCCACTATTCTCCGTATCAGATTGCCCTTGAATACTATCTTCAGTTCTGGTGCCATACTTTATTCTTATAGTTTATTGTTTACAAAACATAGCTAATAATAACAGTGACTTCAGTTTATTGGGCCTTGCTTCTGTGCTGGCCACTGTGATGGGAAAGAATGTATACTATCATATTTAATTTTCACAACAAATTTATGAGATAAGTTCTACAATTTTTTTATCCTCATGCTCCCGAGGAAGAAATTGAGACTTGAAAAAGTGAATCACTTCTGAACCTCAGGGAGCCAGCAGCAATTGTCAACTGGCACAGAAGAATATAAGTAATTGGAGTCCTGGTACAGCTCTACTGATGTGTACCAGCTAAAAGTCAGCTTGGCTACAGCCTCCCTTCTTTTTTGTGCTGCCTGGATTTCAGGTGTAATGGCAGGAGTGCAAGCATCCATCCTGGACCATGAGGTAGAAGCCGGTTCAGAATGACAAAGCAACAAGACAGGAGCCTGGATTCTCAAGGATTATGAGTACCTTCTTGAGCACACAGCTTGCACGTGCCTGTGCTTTTAACCACTATACCATTATGTATGTGTGTAGATATCTGCATGGGTTTATGTGCATGCAAGTGTGTGTATATGTATGTGAAATAAAACATCACATAAAAGTACTGTCCTTGCTGGGCACAGTGGCTCACACCTGTAATCCTAGCATTTTGGGAAGCCAAGGTGGGAGGATAGGACCGCTTGAACCCAGGAGTTTGAGACCAGACTAAGCAACACAGCAAGGGTTCATCTCTATTAAAAATCAAAAAATTAGCCAGGTATGGTGACACACAACTGTAGTCTCAGCTACTCGGGAGGATCACCTGAGCGCAGGAGGTCGAGGATGCAGTGAACTGTGATTGTGCCACTGCACTCCAGCCTGGGTAACAGAGTGAAATCCCAACTTGAAAACATAAATAATTTTTTTTAAAGAGCTGTCCTTATATGTAATGCCCTCTGATATTTTCTATTTTATTCTAGTCCGTATCTTTTCCCTCTCTCTCATTCCTTCCTTCCTTTTCTCCTTTTTTTTTTTTTTTTTTTGAGTTGGAGTCTCACTCTGTCACCTCGACCTGCTGGCCTCAGGTGATCCTTCTGTCTTAGCCTTCCAAGTAGTTAGAACTACAAGCAACCCACCATTGGGTCCGGCTTTTTTTTTTTTTTTTTTTGAGTTGGAGTCTCACTTGGTCGCCCAGACTGGAGTGCAATGGCTGCTCCCGGCCACCGCAGCCTCTATCTGCTGGGCTCTGATGATCCTTCCGCCTCAGCTGGAATTACAGGCATGGGCTACTACCCCCGGCTAATTTTTGATTTATTGTAGAGATGAGGTCTCGCCAAGTTGCCCAGGCAGGTCTCGAACCCAGGAGCTCAGGCAATCCACTCACCTCAGCCTCCCAAAGCGCGGGATTACAGGCTGAGCCACTGAGCCTGGCTGGCTTTTTTTTTTTTAATTGTAGAGATGAGGTCTCACCAAGTTGACCAGTCTGCTCATGAATCCATGGGCAATCCTCTCACCTTGGCCTCCCAAAGTGCTGGGATTATAGGCGTGAGCCACTGTGCCTGGCCTTTTTTAAAATTATTTTTTATTTTAGTGGCCAACCTCTAAATTGGTTTCGCAGTCCTGCAGCCTGGAAAGCACAGCAGCGCAGCACCCTGCAAATTAACCCCAGCAGAGGGCAGCCTGGAGGAAGGTTGGCAGAAGGGGGTGTGCGGATCTGGAGAAGGGCACACCTATGGGGAGAAGGAGGGGTAGGGGAGCATCTCCCTGTCGGAGGGCCGTCGTGCGGAGGCGAGATGACACTTACACCAGGTTGGCTCCACAGCACAGAACTGGGAGAAGTGATGGGGACCCCACAAAGGGCTCTCCCTCCGTAGGAGCGAAGCCTGGGCCCCGAGGCACCCCGCAGGAGGGGCCTGCTAAACCTCAGCACTTCCTGTTTCTTTCTTTTTTATTTTTTGAGTTGGAGTCTCACTCTGTCGCCCAGACTGGAGTGCAGTGGCCACTCCCGGTCACCGCAGTCTCGACCCGCTGGGCTCCGGCCATCCTTCCGCCTCAGCCTTCCAAGTAGCTGGAACTACAGGTGCACGCTACCACGCCCGGCTGATTTTTTAAAAATTTATTGTAGAGATGAGGTCTTGCCGAGTTGCCCAGTCGGGTCTCGAACCTGCGGGCTCAGGCAATCCACTCACCTCAGCCTCCCAAATCGCGGGATTACAGGCTGGGCCATGGAGCCCGGCTACTTCCTGTTTCACTCAGCGTCAACTCCCTGACATTTGCTAGAGTGGTGGCAGGGGAAATGATCGTCTATGCTGTGGATGATCCAAACTGTATGCACGGCACGAGCACAGCCAGGGACATGGTGCTGCCTCGTGCTCAGCCTTGGTGGTGCGTATGCAACAAGCCTCCGTTGCCCTTCCCCTCACTTTGACCCAGCCCTCCTGACCCTGGAGGAAGGCTTGTCCTCGTGTCCTCTTGGCTTAAATGAGAAGAGGTCTGAGGAATAAAGAAACTTCCCCGGATGAGGCTGGGCTTGGTGGCTCACCCCTGGAGTCCCAGCACTCTGGGAGGCTGAGGCAGGAGGACTGCTTGAGCCCAGGAGCTCAAGACCAGCCTGGGCAACATAGCAAGACTTCGTTTTTATGAAATAATTATAAGAAAAAGTAAGTAAACTTCCGGGGATGAAACAGAAATTGCTGTATAGGCCTTGGAGCTGGGAGTCTTGGCTTTACCTACGAAGGAGAAAGATTTAGCCTGTGACAAAGCCTCAGGCCCTGTGCTCAGTGCTTCCCAATTCCCCTCCTTCCCCAGGCCTGCCTCACAGCATCCCAGATGATGTCCTTTGCTCTCTCCTCTGGAGCACAGTGCTGTGTGTCTTCTGCCACACTCTGGTGTGAGGATCGTCTCTCTGTCTTACTTGTGGAGTCTCAGCATCATGATAGAAAACTATGTTAGCCCTCTCTGAGCTCTGCTCCCCTCCACCTGCCCCTGCACCTGGCAGGTTCCCCATCCATGTCCACTTGAGTAAGAACCCCCCAGCTGGGCATGGTGTCTCAAGCGTATAATCTCAGCACTTTGGGAGGCCGAGGTGAGAGGATGGTCTGAGCCCGTGGGGTCGAGACCAACCTGGGCAGCATGGCGAGACCTCGTCTCTACAATAAATCAAAAAATTAGCTGGACGTGGTAGTACACGCCTGTAGTTCCAGCTACTTGGAAGACTGAGGCAGAAGATTTGCCGGAGCCCAGCGGGTCGAGGCTGCAGTGGTCAGGAGCGTGCCACTGTACTCCAGCCTGGGTGATGGAGTGAGACTCCAAAAAAAAAAACCCTCCAGCTGTCAGTTTAATAGAAGTCAATGCTATACCTTCCCTTCAGGTTAAGTATCATAAGGCCACGTGTTGGTGTAACTGTGTGTTGCAATCATTGGCCTTTCAGGGGACCCATTTAATTATGGTCTCTTGAGTTTTCCTTCCCGGAGACACAGCCAGCACTCCTCAGCTGACTCCAGCTGTGGTCAGGGAGCAGCCTGACCTGTGTCTGTTTGCACTGCCGGATTAAGACTGTTAGCCTGATGTACAGCCGCTTCTCAGGGTCTGTTGATCTGAACTGCTGGTTTTAAGTGAGTTGAGAAGATGGAACAATGGAAGGAGGTTATGGCTTAGGACCACCAAGCGCTGGAAGAGGAAAGGCACAAAGAGGTGGCAGCACTGAAATTGATGACACTGAACAGAGCTACACACGAAATGCCAGAGGTGAACAACAAGGAGAACTTCGGCTGAAGGTCTGGAAGCTGAACAATTGTCCCCAGTCTTGTCCCACCTTAAGGTATGATGTGTGGAGCTCATGTGTGTAACACACCCCATGAGTGCTGAGGTTCTGGGGAATTCCTAGTGCCGGTTTCCACACCAGCCTTTTCTTTTCTTTTTTTTTTTTTTTGAGTCAGAGTCTCACTCTGTCACCCAGGCTGGAGTGTGGTGGCATGCTCACGGCCACCACAGCTTTGACCTGCTGTGCTCAGGTGATCCTTCTGTCTCAGCCTTTCAAGTAGCTGAAACTACAGACATGCGCCACCATACCTGGCTAATTTTTCTTGATTTATTGTAGAGACGAGGTCTCACCAAGTTGCCCAGGCTGTTCTTGAACCCCTGGGCTCAGGTAATCCTCTTGCCTCTGCCTCCCAAAGTGCTGAGATTATAGGATTGAACCACCATGCCTGGCCCACACCATCCTTTTCTTTCTGGCCCACACGCAAGAAGCAAATTGGAAGATGGGCATGAAAGTAATGTAATTATGGGCATAACCTCAGATCTGCGTTAATTTTTAAAAGTATATTACTTGCAAATGTTTTCTTAGCTTTGATCCCCTCACCTACCTTGGGGAGGTGAATCTCCTCTCTCTCTTTCTCTCATTCACTTTCTAAATAAACTGCGTGAATACTTAAAAAAAAAATGTGAACTATCTTCCCTACAAGGATACAGTGTAGACAGGTATTCAGCTATTGCAGTGGGCAGAGGCCTAACTCTTGAAATAGAGATTTCAATCTGTGCTGGGGTTATAAATAATTTCTTACTGAAAGATGAAAGTCCTAACATTTGCAAGTAATATACTTTTAAAAATTAAAGCAGATCTGAGGTTATGCCCATAATTACATTACTTTCATGCCCATCTTCCAATTTTCTTCTAGAAAACATGGCGGCAGCCGGGCTCGGTGGCTCAGCCTGTAATCCCACGCCTTGGGAGGCTGAGGTGAGTGG